TGGGGTGGGGGGCGGGGGAAGACAAGTTGGGGAGCTGGTTCCCTCCCCCCCGCAGGGACCAGGGGGAGGGAGGATCCCAACACCAATCTCCAGGGCGGGAGGGAGGGTGGCTAGAGAAAACGGGGTTCTGGTTCAGGTGCCTCCTCCCCGTAGATCGATCCTCTCAGCACCCACTCATTCATCTCTCCATATTCATTCATTCTGCCGTCCGCTCGAGCATTCATTCACAAACAGAACCCACCGCCTACTCTGTTTGTCCAGGTAACCCGGTTCCTCGCTGTCAGGTGCCCCTTCCAGACCTAGACCCTGCTGGCTTGCAACCCCTCCTACACAGGCCCTCTCTAAACCCTTGCTTTTCTCTGAGCAGGACCCCACTCTGACAGTAGGAGGGCTGGTTGGGTCAGATGCCAGCCCCCCTCTTCCCCTTCCCAAAGACTGACCTTTGAACAACTTAGGTAATCTCTTTAAACCTCTTTAAACCTGAGTATAAAATGGGAGCGTTAGCCACTGGACTCCTGGAGGGTTGAGGAGACCTGCAACTGTAAAGTGGTTGGGGGCAGAACTGACACACATTAGGATCTCAGAGAAAGTTGTTGTGGGTGCCCTGGGGGCCGAAGAGGTGAATGAACCAGAGAGATATTTAGCAGGGAAAATCTCCAGATGTAGCAACAGGGAACTCTAGCATCCCTCACTGCCCACCTCACCTACCTGGTACAGACCTTATCACCTTGTGACAGAATTGGGAAGCCCCTTCCAGACTTAGTTTTCACTTTTGGTGCTGCTAAGCTACTTAGAGCAAGTCCCTAATTGCTTAGACCACGTGTGAGTTTCCCCACAGCTCCCAGGCCCATCCCTATACCTCCCCATAATCTGTCTAGGACTCCTGCCGGCAGACCCACTCCAAGGTCTACCCCACCATCCCAACTCTAAAACCTTCCACAAGTCCAGCGCAGTCTGCACTCAGCATTGTTACCTTTCAAGGCTTCCCAGGCCACCTTCCCTCAGGAGGTCTACTATCACCCTGAGGGAGGGTTTGATATCTGCCTCCCTGCTCTCCTTATCCACTTTCCAGAGCTGCCAGGGGCCTGGTGGAGAGCTGCCGCCTCTGACCCTGCTGCAGCACTGCCTTTGCCCTTCCCACCCCTCCTCTTCACCTCCCAGCTCCCCTTCCTCCTTCCCTGGATTTGTACTCAATTCACTGAGCAGCTATTTTCCTTCCCAATTTTTATTTATCGCCCAAACAGCATTAAACCAACAATAAAGGAGGGGAAATCACCCACAATGCCACCTCCCTGTGGCGTCAACAGCCTCCCTTCCTCTGCTCCATTCCAGGCTTGTCCAGGCACAAAGCTTGCTATAATTTTCACAGAACTGTGGTTTCCGTTCTGCCTCCCCAGACCCCCAGATGGACTGGGGGGGGGGGGCAGGGCTCCATCTCCATCGTTCCTCCATCCTGTCACTTAGTATGTAGCGCAGGAACTCTGTGTTGTCTTCCTCTTCTCCTAAACCAACCCCCCCTCTAGCTCCCTGCCGCCCTACGGCAGGCACCAGGCTGTCGCCAGGCAGGCACTTGGCCTCGTACAGGGTGGAGAATAGTGGAGAATACGGATAGAGCTCGACTTGACAGTCACACTTGCATATCAAAATATCACCATCATAATTGTGGCTTTAATGGCTGTGTGACATTCCTTCCAGCTGATGGACCATAGCTCGCTTAGCAATGTCTCCTGCACAACAATTCAGGGAACACTGAGGCAAGTCAACAGTGTTGGTACCGTCTGGGAGACCAGAGAGACCATTATGAACCAGGTTGCACTGGCTGAAAAGCTGCGATTCTAGAAAGGCTGCCCAGCACATAGTAATGGCTGGGCAAGAGCTATCTAAAACAGACTTCTCCACATGACCCAGAGACTAGGGCCAAGCCAGCTGGGACACCAGACAGCTTCCTAGGTTTGGGGGAGGCCAGGGGAAAGGTTCCAGACCAGGTGCAGCTGGAGCCCATTGTAGCCCTGCATGCCGTAGTAGTGGGAGTGCCTGGGTGCCCCTGAGTCAGAGGTCCATGATGGCAGCCAGGCCTGGTGTGCAGAGTCGTGGGCATACAAACTGTGTAGGAACTTCACTCTGAGAAGTGGGGCATCAACCCAAAGACTGTAACTCCAGGACAGTGAAAATGTCCGCTGAGATCAGGAAACATAGTTTGTTCATCAACAAATACTGGCTGAACCACACTGCATGCTAAAGGCTACACGAGAACGCAGGATAATGGTGACGGATAGAGTTGGTCCTATGAGCTGGGCCCCGGTGGGAGGCTCTCATCCTTGAGGGCAGCGCAAGTCACCCAGTAACATTTTGTGGTTTCAGCCTTGAGCTTGCCAAGCCCCAGCTCCTCCACTCGGAGGGAGGCAATGACCAGAACAGAGTCCTGCAGCTCAGACTGGGCTCTCCCACTGGGCAGCAAGGTCAGCCTGGCCCTGCCTGCAGCCTTTCCCCCCACCCCAGGCTCCCATCACCACCTTCTGTGTGCCACCTGATTGTTCAACAGCCAGTGACCCTCAGCACTGTCCCGTCCTCCCAGCTATACCTCCAGTTTCTTATACTGTATAAGTAATGTATACTTATACAGACTTCCTATGGTTAATGTGACAGTCTGGAAAGTTCCTGGAATGGTTTCTACACTATGAATTGTGGACTTGGCAATATTAAACTGTTGTCAGTCAAGACTGGGCAAGCCTCAGCCTCTCATAGGCCGGTTCTGGGGTGGGGAAGGGAAGGGTTTCACCCAGCATCACTAGGCACCTTACTCTAGGGATTCCAGAGACTCATGGTCGCTGACTATCTGTCTCTCTCTGAAGTCCGGCAGTGCCCAGGCATTCTTGACATTTACATGGATTTGTAAGCATATGGTCTGTGGGTGGGATACCTGTGCACACTGCTTCAGGGAACACCTGGCTGGCATACCAGCCCTCACCTTCAAAAAACACTTCAGGTCCAAGACCCAGCTCCACTGTGCTTACCCCCCCCACCACCACCATTCTGTATCCCATAGGTAGGACACAGGGTTGAGGCTTCTCACAGAAGGCAAGGTATCGTTCTATAAGGGTAGCATGTGAGTCTCAGGTTAGTGTCTCGGAAAGCAAGACCTTCAGCCTAAGGTAAGGCCCTAGAGAGAGATCCAGGAGCAGTCAGAAAAGGGGGCAAAGCGCCATAGCCTGAGGCAGGGATTGGCGGGGGGGGGGCAAGGAGGAATGGTCAGGACAGAGGCAGCTGCTAGCCAGGGTCCACCTACTGAGCTGGCTCCAGGGCTGGCCTGTCTGAGCCCCACTGTTCCCTGACACAAGGGCCACACTTCTACACATTCTCTCTTCTCTGCCCAATGATTCACCTGCAGACCAGAGCCTGGCTATCCAGCCCACTGAGTCCCCACCCCTTTCTCCTTCCTTGTTGGAGCTATAAGTGAATGCCATGGCCTGAGTAATTTATAAAGAAAAAGGGTTACTTAGTGCAAGGTCCAGGATCCTGGCCAAGGGGCTACATCTGGTGTAAGTTTCCTTACTTATGATTCTACAGAGACCCCACCATATCATGCGGCAAGAAAAAGCAAGGAACCAATATGTCTCTCTTCTCCGTTTTCTCCCTTTTTTTGTTTGTATGTTTTGTTTTTGAGACAGAGCCTCATAAAACCATTGCTAGCCTCAAACTAGCTACATAACCAAGAATGACCCTCAATCCTCCTGCCTTTACCTCCCTTACCACACCTGGCTATTTCTCACTTCTTAAAAAGTCATTACTGGCTCCAGGTAGTGGTGGCACATGCCTTTAATCCCAGCACTCAGTGGGCAAAGGCAGGCAGATCTCTGAGTTCAAGGCCAGCCTGGTCTTCAGAGCGAGTTTCAGGATAGCCAGGGTTATACAGAGAAACTCTGTCTCGAAAAAACAAAATATCAATAAATAAAAAGCCACTAATGTTGGGGCTGGGGTGTAGCTCAGTGGTAGAGCACTGGCTTAGCATATGCAAAGCCTTGAGTTCCATCCTGAACTTCCCCCAAAAAGGAGAGATAGTAATTCCATCATAAGAGTTCCATGACCACCTCTCACCCTGATTATAGCCCAGAGACCAGTACCTCAAAATGCCACTTTAGAGATTAAGATGTGTTGTTTTTCTCATTCTGGAGATCGAACCCAGGGCCCTGTGGGTGCTAGGCCAGCACTTTACCACAGAGTTACATTTATACCACAGCCCTTGGTTTTAAGATCAAACTAAGGGAGCTGGAGAGATGATTCAGCAGTTAAGAGCATTGGCTGCTCTTCCCGAGGGCCTGGGTTCAGTTCACAGCACCCACATGGCAAACTGGAATCTGCAACTCCAATTTCAGGGGATCTGACACCTTCACATCAATGCACATAAAATAAATTTAAATAAATAAAGATCAAAGTGTGACTAGCCTTGAACTTCTGGAACTCCACCTCCTGATCAGTGGGATTGCGAGTATGCCACCATGCCCTGTTTATGTGGTTGGTGCAGGGGATGGAACCTGGGGCTTCAAGCATAGCAGGGAAGCAGTCTGCCAACTGAGCCACACCCTGAGCCCCCTACGAAGTCTTAGGGGAAAAGTACTACAGTATTTATTACATATGTGTAGGTTTGGTGGGGGGGTCAGAAGGCAACTTCCAAGAGTCGGTTCTCTCCTTCCATGTGGGTTTCAGGGTTGGGCTCAGGTTATCAGAGTTAGCGGCATGTTCCCTTACCCAGACTCACCTTGCTGGCTCCAACAGTCTGTTCTTGTGTCTCCCTTGGTGATGTGCTCTCTGACCCCACTTCTCAGCTTCTCCACAGCACTCTCACCTATTAGAAGCTAGGTAGCTGATGACATCATAGACATGCCCTCCCCCGACCACAGTAAATAATCTGCAGGTGTCATGGTGAGTTAGGTTCAGGGCCTCTGGACTCTGGGGATGGGTGTCTTGGGAGTGGTGGCCTCTTCTGCCCCTGGCCATGAGCCCTTTGAAGGCAGAGTTGGGAGCCCGATGTGGTCTCACAAGTTTACAGGCCTGCCCATAGGGACAGCGTTGTCTGCTGATGCTCACTGCATGGGTGGTCATCAGACTGAGCCAGTCCAGGACAACTGTGATCATGAGACTGGGAACTACTGAGAATGACTGTTTCAAGGACAGAAGTGTCTAGACCCCAGGTCCACTAGCAGGGAGAATGCAGGGTAGGGTCTTGGTGTAAGGACCAAGGATGTGCGTGAGAGAAAAAAATATTCCAGAAAGTGTCAGAAACCAGGGCTTGGGGCAGAGACAGGGTTCTCCCTGGCAGTCTGTCTCTCCAGAAGGACCAGGATTGAGGATGCCATTCCCAAGCCTCTCACACAACGCCCCCCCCACACACACACACCATGGGAGCTTCCTTTTCTCCCTCTGAGTGACATTACCTCCCTCAAATCTTTTACTCAGGGCTGCTTCCTCCTCCCTGCCATTATTCCCAGCAAAGGGCACGCTTCTGACGGTGATTTAAACCTTCTTTGCCTCCTCCATCATGCACCTGTTACATACCCCAGTCCAGCACAGGGATTGGATTGGAGCTGTGACTCAGAGAAAGCGTGTCTGAAGGGACTAGCATGTGTAAGAACCACGACTGGATGGTGCTGGGGTTGGTGGACAGGGAAGGGAGGAGGCGAGGCCTGAGGTGCAGGCCTAACCAGAGGCCATGCCTCCTGACTGGGAAGAGGATAAAGGGCAGGCTAAAGGGGAGTGGGGGAGGGACCCCAAGATAGAGGGAGCCTGAGGGTTGCCCTGGATCACCCGAGGGGGAGAAGGGAAAGTAGGTTAATGGTGTTAGTGTCTGGGCCCTGTACTGCAAAGACTCCTGTGGGGCCCCAGCCTGTGGTGATGTCCTTCCCTGTCACAGTGTCTCTCTAGCCTCTGCAAGGGAGCTTGGTGCTCTCTGCTCCTCCTCAAATGCCCCCTCTACCTCCTGCCCCAGTCATAGTGGCTTTGTGGGTTCCATGAGGCCCAGTACCCACCTAACCTATTGGGGATCAAGGAATACCTGCGACTCAGAACTCCAGAGGCTAACTTTCAGTCCCCTGGGTCCCCTCTGCAGATCTTAGTACTACAGGCCAACTGAAGCCACTACAGGAGGAGGCCTGGGAGGGGCTGAAAGTCTGAGGGTTCCTGTTGGGAGCCCAGGGTCTCCCCCAGAGCTTTGATGGCAATTACAGAGCTGGGGCAGGAGACTCGGCAAGTTCCAGAACCCTCATTCTGCCTAGGTGCTGTCGGGGCAAAGGAGTAGGGGAAATGACTGCCTAGCCAAGGCCTCAGAACCCAGGACCTACAGGTGCGGTGCTGGAGTTAAGGCTTGGACCTGGGTTGGCTCACTCAAATGTTCTCACCTATAAGGCACAGGTGCCCCAAGCAACTAGCTGGGCTTGGCAGGTTTTGAGGTCGGAATACTAGTGAAGCAGGGCATGTGAGGAGCCTTAGGAGGGGGGGAGGGGAAGAGGGCCAGTGCCAGCCATGGGGCGGGGTGGGATGGTGTTGCCAGGCAACCACCACGCGGCTGCCACCAAGGAGGGATTCTTAAAGAGCTGAGCAGAGAGGCTGGGCCACTGAGGGCTCAGGCTGGGCCTCGCATACCAATGGCAGCCACACGGGTCTCCCCCCTCCTCCTGCTTCCGTCATCCCTCCTCCATCCTCCCTCCTCCCTCCACAAAGTAGAGCTACAGCTGGGAGATCAGGAGGACAGAGAGAAGGGACACCCATGTCAAGGAACCTTGGGGCTGTCAGAGGAGGACCAATTTGAGTTCTTTGTCCCTACATCCCTTAGGTGGTCATGTTGAGACCTACAGGGCAAGTGACACCCTCAACTCCAAGACTCCTCAACATAGGCCTTAAAGCCTACTGGACTTGTTCCAGCTGAAGGGACACTAACTAGTATTAGAGTCAGATGTAACAGGTCTCATCTCTTCCTGGCTGAGCAGCCTTGAGCAGTTTCTGACCCAGGAGCTGCCAGCCCCGCAGAGGAGGTAGGTTCCTGACCAAGCTGTGTCTGGTGGCAGAGGAATCTTTCTTGTTATCTAACTTAAATTTCCCTTGCAGAAAGTGGTCCTTGCTTTTCTCCTGTCTTTATTGCTTCCCTGGCTTCAGAAGCAATAGCAGTGGGGACTCAGCTGGGTGACTGCCTGTCTCTTCCTTCTACGGATCCCTTTCCCAGCCACACAGGGGAGCGAGTTCCTGGGGAGTTGTTGAAGCATCCTCAGAGTATCTGCCGCCCCTAAGTTATAGCATTTTGTGCTTATGGGTGGCATCTGGACAATAGTCTAAAGTTGTGCCTGGGACACAGGAGTCCTGTGGTACCTCAAGGTGCAGGAAGCCTCAGCAATGGATGGGTACAGAGGCACTTTCCAGCTTTAACCCTATGTTTCCATGGCTCTCTTCTGTTCTGCCTTATACAGCATCAGTACAGCCTTCCAGCTTACTCCCCAGCTCTAGCACCTTCCATGGCTCTCCATGGCCGTGAGAAAGAACCTTGGTCAGACCTGTAGACCTGGCTGCTTCCTCTACCCTCAACTCAGTCACAGTACTCTCTCTAAAGCTCCTCTCACCTGAGACCCAGGGCCTCATTCTCCACCCCACCCCCTCTGCTCACACACACACACACACACACACACACACACGCACACACACACATGGTCCAGGAAATGTTTGTGAATGGCTAAGCCATGGCCTGCTTAGTCTGCAAGAGGTTGTTTTGTTTGAGAATGAGGGAATGACTCAACAGGTACAAGACCACTTGCTTATGCAGGTATAAGGACCTGAGTTCAAATCCTTAACACGTGGAAAGGCAGATGTGACTGCATGCGCTCCTGTGCACATTGTGAAGGATGGAGGAAGAAGATGCTGGCCACCTCCAGTTTACTGAGAGACGCTGTATCAAGGAATAAGTTAGAGCACAGCAGAGCAGGGCACTGGATGCCCTCTGACCTCAGCCTGCACCTGCACACATTCACTAATTAGTTCATGTTATTTTTAATTTTAAAGATTTTTTGGTTGACCTTACAGTGTTGGGGATGTCATCTGTGGTCTCAAGCCCTCTAGGTTAATGTTCCATCACTGAGTGACACCCCACATCCCCATCTCAACCTTTGAGACCCACAAATGAAAAAGGCTGCCATGGGCTGCCTCACTGGTAATAACCCACCAGGCAAAGGAGAAAGTGAGGGTTGGGTTTTATGGACCCACTGTATCATCTCCAAAGGAAATAAACAGGCTGAGAAGAGGGATATGCAAAGGATATTTTAGTGGGTGGTCGAGGAGGCCCCTTGCGGGTAAGGACAGTTCCTCTGGGACCTGATGGATAAGACAGAGACAGTTAAAGAAGAACTGGGAGGAAGTGGGGCAGTGGGAGCAGTATGTGCAAAGGCCCTGGGGCATGAGCATGCCAGACCTATTTGAAGAAGAGAAAAGAAGACAGGAAATTAAGGGGAGCAAGAGTGGGGTGCAGCCGAGCGTTCATGGAGGAGAATATGGATTTTATTCTAAGTGTAATAGGAAGCTGTTTGAGAGGTTTAAGCATGGAAGTGACATGATCTAATTTATATTTTAAAACGATCATCCAAACAACCACTTTGGAGAGCAATTTGGCAATAACTAGTGAAGTTAAAGATGCGAGCCTGCCTGGAGAAACGCTGGCACACAAACAGGGTGGGCAATGATGCCCCTGTCATGCCTGCAAGAGGCCAGGCTGGGCCACCCATCTGCCCGAGTAGAGAATGGATGTTGTGTGGAGGGGTAGCTCCCTGGGACCTTAACAGCGCAAGCCCACCCAGAATGTCAGCGTTTATATACAGGACAGTGATAAATACTCACCAGTTCCAGGGCACACACAGCAAAACAAGAGAAAACAATGATTCCTTAACTGGGCAGTGGTGGCACACACCTTTAGTCTCAGCACTCTGGGGGCGGAGGCAGGAGGATCTGTGAGTTCAAGGTCAGCCTAGTCTACAAAATGAGTTCCAGGACAGCCAGGGCTGCATAGAGAAACCCTGTCTCAAAACACAAAAGAAAAAACCCACACTAATATGTCATCCCACCACCAAGGAGGCTGAGGCAGTGGGCCAGCCTGGGCTAGATAGCAAGACCTTGTCTACAAAAGATCAAAAGGGAAGCATGTGGTGTTTCCATGAGGGAGGCACCTCACCGTTCTGTGACAGTATGGGTTTGTCTGTGGAGGTAGGGTTTCTATGCCAGGCTGACCTTGAGCTCCAGAACCTCCTTCCTGCCTCCACCTCCCAAGTACTGGGATCACAAGCATGCACCACTATGCCTGGTTTAAACAGTGCTGGTGATTAAACCCAGGCCTTTGTGCATGCTGGGCAAGCATACAACCCAACTGAGCTACATTCCAGCCCCAAAGGATGAGTTTACTGGGATCGGTGGTAGGTCGGTTTCTGTTGCTGGAATTGAATACCAGAGGCCCAGTGATTTCTAAGGAACCAAGATTTACTCTCATGATTGCTCTGCAGCCTGGGAGCTCCAGAGTATGGCAACAGCTCCAGGTAAAGGCCTGGTGCTGTGTCCTTATAGGGCCCACAAGATCCTTGGTGACGAGGTAAGGTGGCAGCTCCAGTCACTCCTTTAGAAAGTCACTCAATCATTGAGTGTGGTGGCACACACCTGTAAGCCCAGCATTTAAGAGATGCAGGCAGGAGGACCAGAAATTTAAAACCATGGTCAGACAATGAACTTTAATCCCAGCACTCCGGAGGCAGAGGCAGGCAGATCTCTGAATTTGAGGCCAGCCTGGTCTACAGAGTAAGTTCCAGTACAGCCAGGGCTACACAGAGAAACCCTTTACCCGCACCTCCCCAAAACAAATAAATAAACAATGACGACAACAACAAAATTCAAAGCTAGTTAACTAGTTAACAGTGGGGATCATCCCCCATGGAGTCACTAGCATGTGTTTAATTAGCATATGTTCAGGCCACATTTACACAGCTAGTTTGAGACCAGCCTGTGCTACATGAGACCCTGTCTCAAGAACCAAAACCACCACCACCAACAGCAACAACAAAAACAGCCCAGGTT